TAATATTACTGCAAAATTGTCATGCCTAAAAAAGATAAGAATCGTTACATACTATAAACTTCACACTCGTAAGGGCGCATATACGCACGCACGAGATAAGGAATGGAGAGGAAATTTTGAAATACGGCAGTGGTTTTGGGTTAGGAAACGTTTATCGTAACTACTTCTCCAGATCTGAAAGACTGTGTTCGCCTATTGGTTTTAATCATCGTTTGACGTATATCTTGGGAGAACATTGGTGGCGAGTGTTTATGCTAAGTAGCAGCTCAGCGGGCAGCATGGATGTTTCCGTAGGAAATACAGTGGCGGCACCATGATTGTAAAAGTGGTGGTGGGGGGGGGGAAGCCGAGGGCAAGGGAAGATTCTGGGGGGAGAGGGCAAAATGTTGTGATCGCGTAGCGCGAGAACTAGTGGGTGGATTCCAGGGGGGGCGAAGCCCCCTGAAGCTCTGAGCTTTTAGCATTTTTGAGGTGAAAAATCAAGCCTCTGTATGAAGAATACATGTGATTCATATATTTCTCACTCTGTATAAGAAATAAACACGCTTGTAGAGCACTTCTGATCCATATCCAAACTTCTAATATTACTGTAAATACTTCTGTAACATGCTTATGGTCAAGAGAAAATGAAATAATTATGTTGCGGAAATTTACCGCCAAAATCGGAAGGGTTGTGAAGTCTGCCACTCTGAATTCAAATTACATAGACTTATTAGACTAGGGTTAAAACCCAAAGATTGAAAGGCAACATTTTGGGCCTATGGAGCAAAATTAATATTGTCATTGCTACTGTGAACTGTGTCATTAAAACCTTTGTACAGGAGGGGGGTGCAAAGGCTTTGACGGGGGGGGGGGGCAAATGCCCCACCCCCATGCCACCGGCATTGAGAAAATATCGGGTTATATTCCATTTTTCCTAGAATATGACGACAAAACAATACAATAAGATAGGCACACACACACACACACGCACAAACGAGGGCAAGAGAGAAGGAACTAAAAAGCACAGACACGAATGAATGAAGACATAGATGAATGTGAAATAAAAATAGAGCAATAAGATGGCCCGGACCTGAAATGCAAGCTTTCGAGAGAGTACGCCTCTTCGCCAGGCTACAACAGAGCAATTTTGTTGTGTACCAATGTCAAAATCGGTAGCGATCATCACTAATAAAAGACGACCAATGAAAACATGGCTTTGAACGGTATACGTATCAATAGTTTCGACAGCACAACTAGATTCGATATAGTCAAGTTTATTAAGACCTGGCAATGTTAAAGGGTCCTTGATAAAACCTATGCCGCATTTGTCTTGGCATCGCAGTTTTTGACGCTATTAGACTAATACGGAATTAGCGCAATTGCGTGAAGCTAAAACTAGTGTTTTACTTGGCAATTCGACTATACTCCATTAGCAAAACATTTCAAGTTAACGCGTATGGGCTATTTGGTACTGGTTGGTATTTTTTCTACGTTTAAGGTACGATTTTATACAAATATTAGATCTTTAGGTGTTTTATCAGACAATATACAGTGTCCAGCAAGCAGTACACATACAAAATATGAGGACATACTTCACTATTTCGTGATTTGGACATTCGCTCTTGACAACATATACTGCTGTTATACAGCTGTTTATTTCACACAACAAGAAAAAAGAATAAACTAAAACACACATACAGACAAAAACATAATTTTACATAAGTTACCGTTGTTTTATTTTATTTTACACATTTTAAATTGTTTAAATTACGTCTCTGGCTTGCTTAGCAATTCATTGTAGAGGGATCATTACCAGTAACATCAAAATTGAATATCATGTTGGATGCTTGCGCACTACAATATTGTCCAGGTTTCCTAAGTTGCTCCTTCACGGATGTACTACAGCCTCATATACGTGTACGTTCGTATAAAAGGTAAACACTGACTAATTGGTAGACACTAGATTTGTTATACAATGAGTGCACTACAGAAAATTGCTGCTTCTCTTCTTTAAAAAAATACACATCTGGGTTTGGTCAGGAACATCAAGGGCAGGTTAATACTGAATAAATTTGCTATAATTAGTAGCATTTTTACTGATTCAACGAGTGCGAGAAATTCTCACAATCTCTAACAACCTCGCAAACCACATTCTGGCGGCACGAGCTATTGGCCCGCGTAAATTTACACGAATGTGAATGGAATATTTTCGTGCTGATTATTCTAGTAGAGAGTACAATTTTTGGATTACCCATCCCGAAAAAAAACGTGTATTCAAACACGCACCCATGACGCATAATATTAGCCTGCTGCTCTGTGGCATGCTTTAATAATATTATAAGGCCAAAACGCAGGTCGGTAGCTGTGCGAATCCAGCCCTTGGTATAGAAGCTAACAATGGCTAGTGAGAATGGCACTACTGCAAGCCGGGGACGCATTACAACAGTATTGCCTCCATTTAAACGCAGAAAGGATTATATTACTGTGCAAGTCAATTGCATCCGTTTATGTGCTCACTGCTCAATTGCCACCTTTCACTTAAATTCCAACTTCGGACAACGAAAAACGAAACAGAACATACATGGGGGCGCAACACGTGCAGGGTGCGTTTTACAAACAGCATCCATTTATACTAACGTTCCATTTACCTCACACAATACTAACCGCAGAAGTGTGCGACTTCACAGAGTTCGATTACGACTGAATCATTTTGTTAGTATTCGAAACTTTCCGAAAGAACCAAGCAACGGATATAAATCACACCAATGGTCCATATTAGTCAACCCACTCATGCCATGTCTCGTTTTTCCTCTTCTCTCACTTACTACGTACAACTTATATTGCTAACAACGAGTGCACTTAAATCACAGGGAAACCTTATTCATCCTTACCTACTCAGTCACGATATCGAACATTTTAAAGGACAGTGCAAATAGTGCCACCTGGATTTAACAACATATTTACCATTTATACCAGCTAGCAAAGTTACAACAGTCAGATAGAGGCAACGTCAAGCGCTTATACTGTCTCTGCAATAATTATTACTGCTGCTGCAAGACGGAAGCCGTCCACCTTCACAGCACAGGAGATATGGTAGAGCGAACGACACGTGAAAGTGTACTTCCTTATCTTCCGAGCCTTCCTTAATAACTACCCGGGCCCCGTGCAGCTATGAAAGACATCAAACCACACATTTATCAACGGACTGAAACACGAAAACACGCTAAAATAATTACCTATAGTGTCTCATCACAGCCAATAACGGTGGCCCTAGTGTTGTTTGGCAAGGGCATTGTTTTGCATGTCAACTCGTGGTGAGGATAATTGATTCTGGCATAAGTAATACTGGTGCGGACATTGGGACCCTAACGCTTTCCCTACCTACGATTAATGTCGTCCAGCACACTAGAGACATTCCCTTCCTTCATTATTGTTTACACTGCAGACTTGAAGTGCCATACAGAGTAGGCTCAGGTTGGCATTCTGGCGGGGATGGTAGGTGACAGCACACAAAACATTCCGCACACATGTTACATTTACATCGGCACAATTAATTTACTTTGTTTGCGACAAGATGTCAGCACTACCACACTTTTTTCATAGACTCGAATGCAAACATAAAGTAACAGTCAACAATTTTTCCTCTCTCTCAAATCTTCCTCAAATCTTCTATTGCCATAGTATAGACCTGGTTGATCCAATGACGCATGCAGCAGCATTTGTCACCACGTCCCCAATGCCATGAAGACTATTATGCACGAAAACGCATTTATGTAGTGTAAAAATACAGGCATCCATTGTGCTAACGGCTACCGTTACCCTTTGTGTCACTAGCCTAGAAACATAAACTAAATCTAGAATCGCTTTGGCCGTTCTCCTGCCACGCAACCGTGACCATTGAAAGAGCTGCCACTCTGTGTAAACTTCAAGTAGTGGAAACTCTCGTCTTGAGCAGTACTACTGTAGCGACGCCACGACGGCAAAACCTGCTAACGAACTGCAGTTCATGAATGTTTCAAACGAGTTCATACAATAACACGTTTACTTATACAAGTTATCAATTGTGGCACCATGGCAATTTTTTTCGACTTTTTTCTTTCTCCAACACCTAGGTAGGCATTTATAATTCTTTCTTTTTTGCCAATTTGCAAACGTGAACTGTCATGAGAGCAGTAAGGTATCTGTGGGCATTAGTTTTACAACATAGAATTGAACGTTTGAAATACAGGCTATCCAACCCTGTTGCTAATCTAAACATCAAAATGAAACATTAAACATCATATACAGAAATCCTAACGAGTGCAGGCCAAAACACTGACTGGGAGAACCCCTCAGCATAGTATGCTAGCAAAGTATTCAGAGCACATACTGCTCTCACATTGGCTCTCTTTAACTGTCCATGTTTGCCAACTCCACATCAAGAACCTGCTGAAATGCTGGGATAGAAATTGTGAAAAAAATGCGAAAATAAATGATATATGCTGGGTATAATGAGGAGAGGTGAAGGATGAAGGAATGATGGAATGATGATGAAAGCCAATCTCTCGTTCTGTTTACCGGTAAAAACAAGACCTTCATCCACGTTTGCCAGCACGACCTACGAGAGGCAGTGGCATTTTGAAACACGGCCAAAACGCAAAATGATCAAACATGAAATATCTCAACATTCCCAATTTTTCAGTTCATCGTCATTGTGGCAAACATGACACGTATATACGTGTCATGACAGTCGAGCCGTTAAAAACCAGTATAGAGGTAATTCCTAAAAATACATTTTCCTAGCTCTCGAATTTGATTCAAACCTCGAAAAATACAGTAAAATCAAGTAACAGCTATAAATATAATGGGTGTTTTGCCTTTTTGATACAAAAATATCTACACCTATTCTCGGACTGCTGCCTACGACAACACTTTCTAGTAGTAACACACAGTAGCCAATGATTCACCGAGAATGTATACAATGAATGAATGTCGTTATTCTGGGCTTTTGCGCATTTAAATATGAAAAGAAACATGGAAACCGGTGCAAGCTGGTGAACTTCTGGAATTCATGTTATGGAAAACGTCTGTTTGAAAGGTCCTGAAGACGCATAGAAAACAAAACTGCCACGCAGCCATACTATGTATGATGTTACAAATGTCCATTTATGTTAAGATTCACAGATCTGCCCACACGAGATCTGCACTCTCCGAGTCAAATCGCACAATACTGCACGTGTGGTGATGTCGGAAGTAACCTGCATTCATGACACCCGGCAAAAGTAGTCTTTGTGATGACCTAGCAATGGACAGACTACCCCACCGGATACTGACTAAGAGATGACCAACAGGCTGAATGAATGACCACCCGAATGAACACCTGCGGGCATATCAGAGTACGTTCTCAGGCCGCTCGACTTCTCGCTCTCTTGCTCTCTGCTGCAGACATGTATGCCAAAAACCTGGTGAGACATATACATCTCTGACGTTCTCCAGTCACACACACACACACACACACACACCAGCAAACTATTTGGCTCACACAACCCATTTAGCACCGCAAATGCAAAATGTTGATTAGAAGCTTAGAAGACTTCATTGCAACACACACTTGTCTTCTTTGCCATTCTTGACCTTAAGGCGGGATTTGGGACGGTATTTCTCCAAGTAGGTGAGCTGCTTTGAGTTTATAGCACCCCGGCGCTTCCTAGAAAGATACACGAACAAATAAGCATCAATGACTGTCTATACACATTTTGGTGGGGAAACAGGCCTGAATGGCAAATGCAGGAAATAGTAGCACAAACATCATGACACTACATACATGCATGCACGCACGCTTGCACATATGCACGCATATATTTAAATATACATATATATAAAAGAACAGAAAGAATTCTGCATTACAGTACTGCTTGATGTTACACAACTTGCGACTGAAATCTAGGTACATTTTGTGACCATGTGTCATTTCTACAGAGAAAAAACAATATTCCTCGATTTAAAAGCATAGAACAAAAAAAATACTCACTGTCTAATCATTTCTACAGCATCTTCATACTTCATTCCAGATTCAATAAGTGCCAGGGCCACCATCACTGGAGCCCTGAAAAATATGGATGGGCAGCACAACTTGTTACTATAGCAAAAATCGACATGTTGCCATGGATGTTGCACAGAACAGCTGTAACCAGCTCTCTTCTAGCCACTAGATTATTTAATTTTCTATGTTTAAGTCCATTCAAGTAAGACCTCAAAGGTCCAGCATTTGCAATGTAAGTTGTAAACAGACAGCTGGACCTCCCAGGCTCCCTGTTCCATTACATTTCATCCTTCGGGTAACAGAAATTGGAATCTTTACAAGTAGAAATTAGGAATCTTTAGTACCAAGTAGGAATCTTGAGAACGTGTCATTTAAGCACAATACTACATAGTTTAATGGCAGTTCTATATCGATTAACAAATAAAATACAATCATATGCATACTCACTGTAGTGTAACAACAGATACCCTGTAAGTTTTCCACCACCAATAGGTGGGTTATATTATTAGCAGCATACTGACATCATTTACACCAACATAGATGGAGACACTATGTATGCACATGTGTGTGCTGTACGCATACCTTCCGAGACCGGCCACACAGTGCACTGCCACACAGCAGCCCGGCTCCTCCTTAAAGCGTGACTTTAATAGATGGATCCAATCCTCCACAACTTTGTCTGGAGGTGGGCTGCCATCGTCAAAGCACCAGTCCTGCAGCAGAGATGGGACATCAGCTGAGGGGGAAGATTACTAATTTTCTCAACAGAATTCCAGAAACAAAAGGTGGGTTGAACACAATAATAATTGTGCTGTAATTTACCTTGCATTTTCATCATGCGTAAGCAGCAGTGTACACATCAGTGTAAATACGTTATTACACTATATACATTTTGACTTCTGAATTATATATTTTAGAGTAACAATGGATAATTATTTCCATGACATGTACTGCATGGTTACGGTAGCACAATGGGCCGAATAATTTTTTTTAAATAAATGCGTACATGACATTACTAGTACACAGATCTGTAACAGTAGGCCCTCTAACATAAGCAGTTGGTTGCTGCTTGCTAAGTCAATTGATTCACACAGCCTTAACTGATGCTATGAAATCGTAAACGAATCAAGCCAGTGATGAAAGCTTGTGATCTAATAGTGCAAGATGGGATTCGCCATATACATTTCAATGAGAGACAGGTTTGCTTTTGTATCAATAGGGTGCAAGTGTCGCAACCACAGAAGCGAGCTATGCTGTTTGATACGATGATAGAGCAGCTTCTACAAACAATAACAAATAAACCTGATTTCATATAATGCCAACTATTTACAAATTATACGTGTTGCATGGAATTACTCACAATGTGTAACTTAACTACATACAGATATCACCAAAACAAAAACATGCAATGGTACTGATTACAACTTTCTCTTGGCAAGATCGGTTCTCCAAAAGAACTTGCATTTACGAACAAGCCTTTTACATGGACTGGTTGCTGGCACCATACCTGGTACCTCATCAGCGCTCAATGGGTTTCTGAAGCTCTTTCAGATAAATCATCAGTGAAGCCCTTTAACAGCAGTTTGTTGGATGGCTGTGCCATCCCGCAAAATAATCGCACAAGCACAGTGCACCTACAGAAATTAGTACTATTAAACTCTAACCATTAAAATTTCAGCCATATGAAGGCAGATGGTCCCCCCCCCCCCCGTCTGTCATCAAAAGACATGAGTTTACCTGAAACATTGTGCAGATCCTAGCTGGTACAACACTCTAGTGTGACACTCACCATAACTCTGATCCCTTCCTGTTCCAGCGGTCCAGTCTTGTAGGTGGGCTCACATACTCGAACGACATCCTTAACGCCCTTTGCTTTCAGTTGCTGCAAAAAACATCAATGCAAAAGAGCAAGATGAGAGCTTATACATTGTGTGTGCATACAATAACTTTATAATTTCCCCGTGGGTCATCTTGTAGTGGCAACTAGGCCTAGTGGCAACGTGCTACTAGGCGAGCCTTGCCACGATTGACAGGAAAATTTTATATCACCTATGGTCGACAGTAGCACCTTACACTTGTGCACTGCCCATGAAAATCCAATGTGTTTCAGGTGTGACTAGATCGGTGGGAACACAGTTCAAAGACTAGAGTCAGTAGAGAGTGTAACCACGTTCATGGAGACCAGAACTCAGAGGAGCTTCACTGAGATTCTAGCTGCTTGTGAGTCAGGAAGCCATATTTGCTATCTTCATTCTATCGCAAAGTTTAAAAAAAAAGGGACATCAAATCAAAGACATAAATCAATGCAGACTATGGCTTCATATTCGCAGTCACTGACGCTACAAGCCCGCAGAATCTTGCCACAGGAATTACGTGTGCCATTAGGGCTTGACCATTAGGATTTGATCAGTTGACCATTAGGATAGTATCACAGATGTTCATCTCTGTGGACTGTGGTGCAGTTTGATGCCCTCTTTCAGCAACACTTTGTTGTTGGGCAACCTCTGTAGTTCAAAATATATATATATGTATATATATCCACATAATAAAAAACATTCTGAAAATCTGACACTGACACATTCACCTGCGATGGAAAGACTTTGAAATAAACGTGGAAGCATAGTTACAGAAATTTCTCTTACTGAGACAGACAGGCTTTCATTAAAACAGCATGAAATAATGTAATAGAAAGTTTGAATATGACCTCATTAAAATCAAACTGTGCAAAGTTGATCACAAACACCGAAGAGTTCTACGATGTTTCTATCAAAGGTTGTGAGCTGCCCTGTGAAGGATGTGTATCACTATATGATGGCCATTGCAACAGTACGTTAACATAATCTATTTACAATCTTTTCAGGGGTCTTACGACCTGTACAGATGGTTGTGAGGCTGCATTCATCCCTATCTAGATATATATAACAAAGAACAATTAAACATAATACTCATAAAGTTGCATTCATAGCAAGGTCAACAAAACAACGTTTTCAGGCATTTAGTATGGCTATTTTTACATTTTCTGAATAAGCAAACTAAATATGGATTTTGTCTTACTATAAAATATATTAAATATTGAATTAAATACCACACCATTAAATATAGATCGAAGTACTGATATTGCCACAATACATTGTTTCTAGAAGCATATAGACTATGGTAAAATGATTTCTACTGTATTGATCATATATATACTGATAAGAATATGGCTAGCTCTCGGCATCATTTTAATAAGTCAGATGACCAGTCAGTCAGTAAAATGATTTCTTATTATTTCTTATTGATATTGAATCGTATTATTTCTTATTGATTATTTCTTATTCTTCTTTTTCTTCTTATTATTTCTAAAATTATTTCTAAAATTATTTCTAAAATTTATTTCTAAAATTATTTCTTATTGATATTGAATCGTAAAATTTGCTGATAGTAAAATTCGTGGCAGAATAAATAAAGTCAACCCGAAAATAATGCTCGAAGCAAGAGGCATACTGTCCACTAATATTTGTTGCATCTTTGCTAAGGCAGCACCGATCACTGGCTGCCTACTTCTGTGAGCCAAACAAATCAAATCAGAATGATTGGATATAAGCTGCCACAAACACCATTTAAATGAAAAATAATCACATGGATGCATTTCAAGAGTCAACTAAGATGACTTCTGTGATAGTACAGAAACCTTAATCATTCATCACATTGACAGGTCGAGGAACCCATGAAATAACTTGCTAAAGAGTAATAAAACCCAAGCTGCTGCAAGGAAAATTAAGCCTAGCGCAGACTTGCGACTTTTGGTTGCTTGTCGCTGCAACCTGCAACCACATGCGATTGGTCGCACGCAGTGTGTGCGCGTGCAAGCGATTTCGGAGCGATTGGGAGCGACAAGTTGCTAAAAATCAAACCAGTTTGATTTCTTGCAACTCGTTGCAAGCGACCAGAATCGCTACGAGTTGCAGTTGCACGTTCCCGCAGACATGGCGATTTCACAGCAATTTCGTCTGCGATTCTATAATCACAGCCGAGTTGCATGAAAAAGTTGCAAGTCTGCGCTAGGCTTTACTGCCACGAGACTGCACTCACTCACCTCCATATACTGAGAGATGTTGGTGTCAGTTGGTCGGTCCGTGATGAGAAAGCGCATGTTCCTGTGCACGATCTCGGCCGGAGCTGGCCGGACGCTCAGTTTGCTGCTGTTCATCTTGCTAAGCTTCTGCTTGATATGTTCAATCAGGTTGAGTTTCGTTGTTGATGCCGACAGCTGATCCAGGTTTGCGTTTCGGTCACAATTCACAACGAGCTGTGCGCTTGACGTGGCTTACCCCATCCGAGTTGGTATAATTTATGAGTCTGTATCACACACAGAGAGAAGAAAATTGCCTATGGGTCCTACGTGTTTCGGTTACAGCTTTACTTGTCGTGTTGCGCCCTGCAGTACTCCCCGCTTGCCTTGACAAACTCGGCAAAGCTCCGGCTGTACTCTCCAAAGAACTGTAACACCGCAGAGACAAAAGTTAGTAAATATAGCAAATGCCACTGGGAAAACTGTGCGTCTACTTCCCATACAAAACAAATCATAAACAAACGAAACCATGATAAAAATGAAGGGGTTCACGGTAACAAACAAACAAGTGCATTTAACAGACAAGTACGTACGCACGCACGCACGCACGCACGCACGCACGCACGCACGCACGTACGTACGCACGCACGTACGCACGCACGCACGCACGCACGCACGCACGCACACACGCACCAACACAGACACATGCACGCCCACATTCACACACACACACGCACGCACGCACACACGCGCACACACAGGTGATTTAATCAAAACATTGGTATCCTCACAACCGAACTGTAATCAATGCACACTACATAGAAACGGGTTCGAACCTGAGAACAAGAGTGAACAACGGGCGCGAGCCAGGGAACATATTATACATTGATGTTAGATTCCCGCAGATCTCATATATATATATATATATATATATAACCAATTTCAACTGAATTCGAATTCAAAGCCATCTACGCAGCTACTTCAGCTGTGCTGCTATGCTACAGAACTTTATTTCATTCAGGGGTGGGGGCATCAGACTGTGTAATCAATAACATGTGCTTCAGACTGAAGCAGTTTTGCAGTACTAGTTCCTGTTGCGGACAGTAATTGCCGAAGGATTGAGCGTGAACATCAGAGTTTTCCCGCCGTTTGAGCACGTGCTAGTTACTCCATGGCTAGCTGATCAATGTAATAACGTAAAGACCCACGGCTAGTGAACTTTTTTAAACAGGTGACATTATACCTGACAGTGGCTCCCGCATGCAGTCAGCTTCACTAGAAAGCACAAGGTATTAGTGATGCAATACAAGGTAGTATAGCAATGCAATTTCGATCGTATGATCACTGGAACGCACACTAGGTCAATTCCTGGTTCATCATAAGTTCATAACCCTAGCAACTTGTCAAAATCACACTAGTTGTCAATTTCTTCTAACTGTTCTTACGTTTGACAGACCGGAATAATTTACCACCTTGTAACTATGCCAATCATTCATCCTCTAAATTGCAAAAAATATGAGCCACTGCAGCACACTAGCCAATCAAATTCTCAACGACCGACCTCCAAACTGTTTGTGGTAGGATTCTTACAAACAATAATTCGTTTACACTGGGCCTGAATCATACCATGACATCATTAAATGTTCAGCAGTTTGATCCTTTCTCTCAGTGTTTTGTGAAAACGGCGTCACAGAAAACTATACCAAAAAATGCGTTTTTACTTCGTTATCCAGATCGAAACACGGGTCACGGTCTGTGTGTCCACGTGCACGGTCGTTTAGATTAATTATGCTACTTATTGAAAAAAAAATTAGGTTTAATAAAACTTGAAAGAGCAATGTCGTATCAGCTAGCATCAAACACGTAGACAATGCCAAACTACGTAGATTGACTGCAGCAGCACTAATGAGCTATAATTGTACGTGTACACATAGAGGCTCTGACTCTTAACCACAAGCGTTGCCAACTCATTTTGGTGGGGCAGGGAGCAAAACAAACGTGTGGTTTGTGATCCTGGCAAATGACCATAGCCAGTTTGCCACTGACCATGTAACAGTATCGACAGTGGGCGTAGGGGAGGGGATAGACAGCGGCACACCTTTTAGATATCTACGTTATTTCAACTTCAAATATACGTCAATTTTGAGACGTATTTTTAATGCCAGGTATATGTCAATAATGAGATGTATTTTAATGTCAATCTTGAGACCACTGCATTTCCTGAGATTCGCGAAAGTGAAACTTAAACTGGGAAAATAGAGATATAAGAATAGGAAATATAAAGAGAAAATATAAGAATGGATGGGAAAACATAAGAAGTCATTACTTTAAAATTATTATTGCTCAAATCAATCAAAAAATAATTACTCAAGTTACCAATAACAAAGCATAAGGACAGGGTCTCACAAGAAACAAGTGGCATCATTATGTAACCGCATCAACAAGAAGTCAAAAATTTCAATCACTGCACATTTAGTTGAAAGTAACGCTGTACAACTGTTCTAAGACATTTGCTATTGAACAGCAATACTAGTAATTATTGTGATGGTTGGGAAAATATAAGACCGGTGGGGAAGATTATTCGATATCCCTACTCTAGGCCTATGGGACAGCAAGATTTAAGGGATGTCGCAAATTATCTATCATCGCTTAATCTATGTAGGCAAATCAGAACCGATATGCGTTAAAGGTCTGGAGAGAACCCTGTATACGCACGCATGCACGCACGCACGCGCGTATGCACACAAATATAATATAAAGTGTATATATATATATATATATATATATATATATATATATATAATATAAAGTGTATATATATATATATATATATATATGGTCCCCCAGCTGTAAATTAGTAACATCTCAAACATTCCAGGCACTTCCATACCAGTATGTGCACAGTGCAGCATACATTAGCGTAATTACAGGTAGGAAGACACAAGCACGTACATCAATAACAACTCGCTGTCTATGATATCCTGCATGACAAACTGTATGCATACATGTTACCTATTATTATTATTCCACCTTATTAGCCGATGAAGTCACTATAAATAGGTGTATATATATAGTTACTATGAGAGGTGTCGGAGAAGCGAGTAGCCTTGCCTTCCCTGTGGAGTTTCAGAGCACTTTTATGTATGTGTCACCTGATTGCCAGGCTCTCTCTCCGACATGAAGCTAGCAATCAATGATAGACGCTCTTAATAGGGTGCACTATAATTCTAAAACTACTGCTACGACGTATACGCATTGGCAACCGACCCATTAACGCCAAGCATAATTACGTTAACTTACGCTGTCAAATTGGCGAATTGGACCAATTTCACAATTATACTACCAACTATCGGCAGTGTAAACGTAAAAGTTGCGCGAAAAACTGGTTAATAGCAACTAGTTGGGAGATTAGAACATGTTCTATTTTTGCCAACTCTCTGTTGCTAAATTGCGAAATTGGTCCAATTCGCCAATTTGACAGCATAAAGTCGCCTCGGTAGTGTAAACCCGGCTTTATAGAAGTAGCCACTAACGCAGGTTTAACTGTGTAAATATATGCGTCCGAGGTAAATTAAGTACAGGTATACCTGTAGGGTTTAAGCTGTCATTCGCTAATTCGCTAAATGCAAAATTAATTTGAATTTTGGCGAAAAAATGTCATAAATTCGCCAAAAAGCTCAAGCTAACTAGAAAGGGCAGTTGTCGCCAACTACATGTATCCCTCGTGATCTAGTATGAATGAAATATCTCTGTAAGGACGTAGAAGGTAGGTAAAGTTAAATAAGTCACAAAGACAAAGGTTTAATTGTTACACAACTCATCTGCCTGAGATGTGCAAGTATGTTAAAATTGGTTGCCTTAGGGGTTTTGGTACGCGACACACCTTCTCCCCAAGATGTGTAAGTATACAAAGTTTGCTCACGCTAGGTCAATTAGGAGCCGAGTTATAGAGCGGAAGAAACATATGATAAAGGTCAAGGTCAAGGTTAAATAAAGGTTGCAGTGACCTGGTTTCGGTACGTGACACACCTTCTCCCCAAGATGTGTAAGTATACAAAGTTTGGTCGTGCTATGTCAATTAGGGGCCGATTTATAGAGCGGAAGAGAAATATGATCAAGGTCAATTTCAAGGTCAAATGAAAGCTGCAGTGACATGGTTTCGGTACACGACACACATTCTCCCCAAGATATGTAAGTATACAAAGTTTGGTAGCGCTAGATCAATTAGGGGCCGAGTTATAAAGCGGAAGGGAATTATGATCAAGGTCAATGTCAAGGTCAAATAAAGGTCGCAGTGACCTGGTTTTGGTACGCTGCACACCTTCTCCCCAAGATGTGTAAGTATACCAAGTTTGGTAGCGCTAGGTCAATTAGGGGCCGAGTTATAGAGCGGAAGGGAAATATGATCAAGGTCAATGTCAAATAAAGGTCGCATTAACCTGGTTTTGGTACGCTGCGCACCTTCTCCCCAAGATGTGTAAGTATACCAAGTTCGGTAGCGCTAGGTCAATTAGGGGCCGAGTTATAGAGCGGAAGAGAAATATGACAAAGGTCAAATAAAGGTCGTAGTGACCTGGTTTTGGTACGCTGCGCGCCTTCTCCCCAAGATGTGTAAGTAGACAATGTTTGGTCACGCTAGGTCAATTAGCAGGGTTCGCCAAGCTTTTAAATTATAGCATTGGGGTGGTACTCAGTGCTAGGGGGGTCCGGGGGCATGGCCCCCCAGAAAATGTTTGAATTGTAGAAGCTCTGAGATGCAATCTGGGACACTCTGTGTGTAAATTTGAAGCACTGCATGTGGGGTGAAAATGTTTGTTTTGCATGGGCAAAGCCATCGGAAAATTCAAAATAATTAATGGAATAAAAATACCAAAATGTAGGGATGAACTTGCTGGTTTGCTGGTTCCAAATCGAGTTCACCTCTCATAAATAAATATATAAAAAATTGTCACCATTGACAATGGCAGGAGTGGTCGGTAAGTGTACCAGTCTACTCTACCTCGTGTTAGACTGGGTTACCTGCCCCATAATAATGCCGTTGGAAATTAATTCACGATATAAGTCACGATTAAGATTTCTTGATGAGCTAGAAGACACTCGGATTTGAAGTATGAAAATGAACATTATTGTGCCAGCAAGCATACACCAGTTGGTTGGGATTGATTGTCAGTTCAGATGCAAAATATTGAAAGCAAAAGGTTATAATAACCCATAGATTAATTTTGGTATAGGGGATATATGTATAGCGGGTAATATGGGATAGGGATAGGATGACTGTTTGTACTTGTGTGTGGGACTGCCGTACCCGTAGCATCGAGACAAACGTGTATTAATTAATTGTTTGAACTTCTCGTGTATACACCAGCATGGCGGCTATGATATTTAGCGTGGCGGGTGCATTTTAGGATGGCGGGGCTCCCCAGGCTATAAGTGCCCTTGGAGAACCCTGATTAGGGGTCGAGTTATAGAGCGGAAGGAAAAGTGTCTGCGGCGGCAGCTCGACAGACATGAAACCATAGTATCCCCGCCGACTTCGGCGCGGGGAATACAATTAAGTCCTTTAGACTGAACTCAAGTTCTACCAATTAGCGACCGCTACAAGCTAATTAGTAGGCTGCTCGACTTCTACACGAGATCGCTACTTGCTAACCCGAAGCATGAGGTACACTGCGTGTTCATTGTTTACTCAGTACCAAAACTTTTCTGGAAAAGATCCGCACGCACGCACGCACGCACGCACACACGTGTATTTGGAGATATGCTAAACCTGTTTTTGTTGTGTACCAACATATTTTATAACTACTAACAATTCATATTACGCTGTAATTTTTATGAAGTAACGTACTGCTACTATAATCATATAATGACATACATGTATAATGACTTGAAACACATAGACATCACCTACGTTTAGTTACGCACTAGAGCACCCATGCCCAACAAACATGTAGTCATCCGTCCAACGTATCCGAAATCGGTAGCTACACATTCACGTATTACGCCAAAATTTTGAGTTTGAAAACCAGCTGTCTAAAATGTTGAATATATGAAACAGGCATGCTGTACTGCCAATAGCTATCACCTGCTGATGTATTTATGTATCTACGAGGCCCGCTTCTAACTATCTTACAGATCTATGTACCTACAGAACAGCATGAGTGTTTATATAGGCTGGGTGTTGAAAATCCCGAGCCCTACCTTCTCCCACTTCAAAAGTTGCTGGGCTGTACAAAAGTGCAATTTGTGATTTCGGTTGGCCTAACCTAGAACAGTTTTGAAAGGCCCTCCCAATATGACCTTTCTCGCTACTAACTGTATCTGATAACTACGAAAAGGGCACAAGCTAAACTAGATCAAAGTGCCTGCATTTACGTTTTCACACTCCGATATTTAGCGGTACAGACACCCGTACGTATTCCGATGTGAAAGCGTATGCACAGGCGCGTTTAGCTAAGGATAAAGAAGCTCAGCTGTTGCCTTCTCTTGGAGTCGCCCATACGTACAGGATATTGATGGAACGCAACCACCGACTCATTATGACAGCCTGCTTGCCCGATCAAAGACAAAGAAACAGAGTTTATTTTTAAGTACCGACCGGGTTGGAATTTTAAAAGTAGCCAGGTCATGGTCGTTTGCATAATTATGTACAGCAGAAACACATATATGCTAACAGCAAAGGAATTGGTTACAGTCTTTCATACGCATGTAGATCTATTCCCTTTACTCACAATGTACAGACCGTTTGACATCGCTACATCGCTACGACTTCGTGAGACGTCTGCAACTAATAAGAAAGAAACTTGGCCATGCCTCCTACGCAAAACACTCTCTTAGTTTTACACACATATATATGCTTTTTCAAGCGTTCGTATCCTACGCACGCTTAGCAGACCCAGAACACCAACAAAATACTGTAAATGCATGTAAAGTTCTTGGCACTTAAACTCCTGGTCGTACGACGTTCGTAACACCCATCTGTTTTGGAGTTTTGACATTTCTATCCATCAGCAGCAGCACATATGGGGCAATGCATTCGGACTAGGAACGTTTTGTTGAACTCTGCTAGCGTGTGTAGTTGTATTACCATGCATGTGGCTTAGGAAAGGATTCAGGCGCAGCTTAGAGAAACAGGATATGGGGAAGACGTGTATTTTGGGAAACTGCAACAGCTAAGCACAGAGGTTCAACCTTATGGTTAGTACACCTAACATAAAGACAAAACATTTTCCCAGGTGTTTTCCATAAGTCTTCCTGCTGGATGAGTAATGGTTGACATTTTCCAGGATTGGCAGATTTAGGCTGAATCTAATCTTTGTTCTTCATAATCTCTAATCAATAAACAGTAAACAAACTCTAGCAAGAAGCGAGTTTTACCACTTCTCAAACACAATAGAGATGTGCTCATTTGCAAGGACTTTCTAGAACTAGCGCTCATAGGGTCTATGTCCCCCAGGGTACTGCCGGAACGTACCCTGGTCACTATTTGATATGGTTAGGGTTAGGGTTAGGGTTAGGATTAGGGTTAGGGTTCGGGTTCGGGAGTAGGCGTAGGCGACTCCCTAGACTCGTTAGTGGAGTAGACGAGGTACGGTTCGGCATATTAGTAGGGATACTGGTCGAAAAATTTCTAGATAAATAGCACCACTGGACTATGATCTCAGCCAGTAGATTACAGTGATACTTGAATTGTCATGATTGGTCTATGGGTTTGGGAGCT